TCTCAGTAAATTTAGATGAGGCACTACAAAAAGGTGCAATGAGAGATGAAATTCTAGAAAACTTAACCAAGCATGCAAGAGGAAACAAGGGGGTAATGCTTTGATATTTTTAGATGTCAATTGCTGTATTTATTGATAGGATTGTACAACAGAACAAAGTTTCTGAAGCTGGGAGAGAAAGCCTTAATATCATGCTTTAGGGTCATTTTGCTTCTGTTAAGGTCACTGGGAAGCATTATCTTGTATAGATTGTGAATTAGCTTGTTGATGTATCTTTTGGTCTTCTAATAAAATATTGGCTGCACACAGGAAAACTGTTGAGGTGATTAGCAGCATCATTGTAACGAACATCCTGAAGTGCCTAATGGCACTGCTGCTTAGCCTTAAGCTATCAGAATGTTTATGACAGAGGAGATTGCATTCCCAGATAAGATGAGAAGTATTGTGTCCTGCTTTTTTTTTTTTTTCCTGTGATATGGCTTTGCTGTGTAACTTTATTTATCTAACTTCCCATTGTTACAGGAACCTAAAATATTTGTTATTAACTTGGTTTTATTTCTTGTCTGCATGTGGATTTAATTGTCTTTTTTGTTCATTTTATAACAGTTTGATTGTTACAGATTGTAGGAAAAAAATTATATTTGTACTGTCATGTGGAATGCACATTCTGTGAACCTTTCTGAGCAAGTCATCTATCACTTGGCTGCTGGTAGTAAAGGTGAAACTGAATGCAGTCACCCTTCCAGTGGTCTCTTTCAGTCTTGGGTTCCTAAGCTCAACCTTTTCAAAGGCTGTGGTAATTAGATCTTCAGATGGAGAAGAGACAGAAGGAATTGTGATTCTCAGGGTCACAAGGTCTCTTAAGCCACTGATCTGTAATGCTGCTCCATGTTCAGGTTCTGTATGCATATTCTTTACCTGGGATGCAACAAGCCAGGGAGTTGAATCTCCACAGCTAAGACATTCTGTCTACTCTGTGGCTGTGTGCCCTTACCAGTTTGTATCTATCCAGAAGAGTTGAGTATAAATAAATGAACCGGCTGACACTCAGCCCAGAATGTCTGCACGATCAGGGAGAACATGCTGACAGCTTGGGGAGTGCAGGGAGGCCCTGGAGATCAGCTGTCATACAGTACTGTGACATCTCTTTCACTGCAGTGATTCTGGTGGTCTCAGCTTCTAGAGCTATCTAGGCAGAAAAGTAATAGTACTGTGCTGATACATATGAAGTAGCAACTCTGATCTGGAAGCAGAGATGTTGGAGAGAGGAGAAGGGGCAATGCCAAGGAGAGTAAGCTAGCTTCATTGGAAGCAGAGTTGTGTTAGACATGCAGGCTTTTCATTGCTGTGGGAGGTGGGACTTTTCCTTGTCTGCCAGAGTTAGTGTGCTTCCCAACCAAGTCATAATTCAATTTTTTTTAATTCTCTTGTCCCAGAAGCTACTGCCCTGTCTTTTTCTCCCATGTACAGGCACACAAATGTACTGGTGGTATACCTCAGAACATGTTCTTGTGCACAGGCAGTGTCAAATACGCTTTGTGGCCACTGGAGTGTAAGGCACTGATTAATTTTTGGGTGAGGAAATAGTCCCATTACTAGGCTGTCAACTTACTTTAAGTTCAGCTTATGTTTACCTACCTTAAGGAATTAGGTTCAGTGTATTGTAACAAAACAGATGAGGAAATGATGTAGCTCTGTTTCTTATTTTAGACTTTCAGTTGAAATGTTCTCCATAGAAGACCAGCAACAGACACTTATTTTCATAATACATTTATTAAACAAGGAATACCAGTTGTAAGTACTGATACAGTTAGATGGTTAGATATTTGTGATACCTAGAAGAATGCAATGAAGCTCAAGTGCTGTCAAGCCAATCAGTCCCTGACTTTTTTCCCTAAGACAACTAGCTCCACTTAATCAGGTAATCTCAAACATTTCGCTTTGAGTTCTGTAAAGGTGTATGATTGCTTACACTGATGCTGCAGGTTTGAAAGAGTCCTAGATTTTCATTTCATGTACTTAAATATAGGTAAGACCACAAGAGACATTCAAGGTCTAGATGAATTTTATGTAGTAGAATTGTATAGGCTTAAAATACTTGTCCAGACATTATGCCTAAAATTTTCTGAATCTTTCAGTGAATCTTTTGCTCTGCTAGGTTATCCTGTGTTTTTCCTCTACTCTTTCACTTTTTTTTTTATTTTAAAAATTTAATTTCTTTAACTTGTTGACATAAGTTGTACTCTCTGAAGCGTTTAGCATTTTGATTGTTCTTCAGCGTTTAGGTTTTCTGTATCCTTAGAGAAGTCCAGCATGTGGGTACATTTATTACTGTAGCTGTGGGGTTTATAAATGAAAAATAGAAGGTCATTTTTTTGCTATTAGACTGCCTTCTTAGTCCTGGATAGAGCAACATTTTTGAATTAATATAAGAGATTAATTACTGCCTTTGCCATAGTTTGGTTGTTAGTGCTGATCAGTCATGTTGTACCAAGTCAAAAACTCAAAATTTTGTTGCTATTTTTCCAGTTTAAAATTTTCATTATGGTTCACTTCTATATGTGATTTCACTAATTAAAAGTAGTCAGTATCATACTTCAGTGAAAGAGATCCGGGACAATATCTCTAGCCCATTAAAAACTTATTATCTCTTCATGCAGTTCAAAATATCTTTACACATTTTTAAGTATGAAAAACTACTGTCTTGCAAGCCTAATGAGGCAGATATCTGCAAGAATCTGTGCTACAGAATGAATTGTTGTATCCCTGTTTCAGAAATGGTGTATGTGTCATTTAGACCAGTGACTGCTACAAGCAGAAGGGAATAAGTATTATATTAATGACTGTATTTGACAGCCTGGCTCCATAATCTGTTTTTCACTGACTTTTCGTTTTTATGCCAATAATTATGCTCTCATCTGGAAAAATTAGACTAATGCAATTTTCCAAAAGCTATTAACAAGGCTTTTAATATTAAGATGGCTATATATCCTAATGTGCCATGCCAAAACTAAGCTTGTGTTGTGGTTGGTTGTGAAATGGGACACGATTTGGGTGTATTCTGGAGCATGCATGAATGAATAGAGATGCTTCTGCAGAGCATGAAGGAAAGCCTACAGGCTTCAGGGGGCATAGAGCTTCATTCAGGTTGTGGCGTTCTTGTCACCAAATTCCTACCAGCATCAGCTAGGGTGATGTTTGCACCAATACTTCTGAAGTTGGTGGAAATAAGGTAAAACCACGCCTGATTTCAATTTTTCAGTATTTGGATGTCTGTTGATTCTTGAAGGACCTGACAGAGTGTGGGGACCTCAATATCCATATGCTTTTTCTGACTTCATCACATCCAGGAAATAAAATTAATTATCTTGTAGATCAAATGAAAAATATTTTTCCTACCTGTTCAAGTCCATCTTTCGTTAAAAATCCTGTTCTGTTTGACTTGCAGTAGCTTAGACCAGTAGTATTTGATTGTCAGAAACTATAGTTATAGCAACTACAAAACCTGAATCTTTATTCTTTCATGGCGTAGCCAACTCATTCTTCCAGCTAAGCTCCCATATGTAAGTCTTAACAAAAGTTAATCACAACCATTAAAAAAACCATTAGACAGTGTCATAGAGTTCTATGTATAAAAGCCTTTGGGACTTGCTCAGAACTGTATAAAAGTCCTGTGCAATCCACAGATTTCACAAGTTCATGTAATGACTTTCTATTGAGATACCTACATGACTACAGAATTTTCAGAGGGAAACTTGCCACTGGTTCTTTGGACTAAGCTGAAGAATGAAGTTTTAGCATCTTTTTTCACTGAAGATTTGTTAGTGTTCTCTAGAATCAACCCAATTTGTACAAAGTCTCTAGAACAGCAAAACTGTTATCTTTAAATTCTATGTGTCTTTCTAAAATACTCTTTGAAAGTAGCTATATTCCTTGGGTTTCACTATGATAACAAGTTAACAAATACCCTTTGTTTCATTTTACCTCTGTTGCTGGTATGTTTCATTTGAATATAAGTAAAATATAAGTTTGGATTAGCAGATTTATGTGAAAGCAGAATCATTTACATGTGCACCAACATCCAGGCAGGCTAATATACCAGTGTATCATATTTTGTTTTTACCAAGACACTGTACTGTACATGGTAGATGGACATGTAGTGGTGTGGTAAAGTTGGATCCTAAACTTCTAAAACTTTGGCAGAGGTGTTTTGATGAGCTGAAACAAAAGATCTGCCTTGCTGCAGCTCTGCCTTACCACTATATTCCAGTAATTTGAATCATGCATCCTTCTTCCTCTTCATCCCATACAGGAATTAATTTACCAATTTAGACATTACAATTCAAATACCAGCTAAATGAATTGAACTCTTATACATATGAACATTCATAAATAAATTGGTAGATACAGACTCCCATTTGTGGCCAGAAGTCCAAAGTGCCTTAAAAAATAATGTTTCTAACATATTATGAGAGAAAAAAAAGTAGACTTTGTGTTCATATCTATGCGGAAAAAGAAACCCAAACCACAAACACAAAATGATGGCCAAAATGGATAATATTATCCATTAACTAATATAGATCATTGGAGAATACATTACTGAGTAACATAGTACTCTGTTGGCCATGGCTAAATGCAGCCTCCCTGTTGGCATTTCAGTTTTCATTCCTGCTTAGGCTTTGAAGTCAGCAAGTAATTGTCACTTTAGGACCCCTTAGTGATGTTTAATCAAACACAGAGAAGAAACCTAAACAAACCAACCCCCTCTATTCAATCTTCATTCAGTACTCACATTTGGATATGAGACAATGTTAATTTTCTCACTCATTAACTCATTGTAATTTTTTGCATACTCTTACAGTTAGAATGAATATATCTTTATACACTGCGTTTTGGTTTTCCATATCAAATGCCTTGAATTGTCATGCTAATTAGCACAGAAAGATCTTCTTTTTCTTCATTTTATCTATATTTTGTCATACATATACTTGTTTTATCATTACTTTCTTCTAATTTACATAATCACAAGGTTTTGAATTATTGTTTCTTAATAATTTGTTTTAATGAAATTTACTGTAAGTAGTTATTATTATGCATTTAAGAGTTGCAGAGTATGCACACAAGAGGTGGTGTTTTGCCAGTGGTGTTGCTTCCCATCTTCTCATCTTCTTATCATCTTCTCATCATGATGTAGTACTGCTTCTTTTATCCATATACAGAGTTTTTTTAGTACCTTCTAAAATATTATTTATCTAAAAATGCCATTAACCAAAGGGATTGAAAAGTAATTGGCTATTTTAGAGAGACTGACAAGATTTTTTTAACAATTGTCTTTATATTCACTTGTTAAAGCTTTGAATAAATGTAAGACAATAGTGCAGTTTTTCAAAGGCTTAAGGTAAATCTAGCATTTACAATCAGTATTGGAAATAGAGGAAAGGTTGGTAATTTAAAATTCTTTCAAAGTTGTTATAGTAGAATATTATTTTAAATAGAGGAAAAATGCAGAAAAAAGCTCAGGATAAACTGTACTGATTTCCTGAACCACCGAAAAATGTAGTTTAAACTTTGCATTTAGGCAGCTGCTCAAAAATCTTGGTTCAATTTAATTTCTAAGTCATTGGGAGCTCCCAGGTTTTGCCTGGAAAAAAGGTAAAATTTCATACTTAGGTTGTAAGGCTTGGATTCCATTAAGTTTCATCAGCAGTGGTTGTCACACATCTTTGGACATCCATCTTTTTCTTCCTGATTAAATTTTCTCGTAACAAATACATAAATGGGGTGAGGAGGACAATAGCTGAGAAAGAAGGCAATATGTCAGCTAGCTAGGACTTTTTTGAAGTTTAATGAATAATTTTTCACATTAGGGTCCTTGGTCTTTCTGGAAGCAGTAATCTGGGAGCACATATGGTTTCTAAGACAATGCATATTAAAGAAACCAGGATGGGCTATAGTGCATGGTTTTTATAAAAATAAAAAGAGAGTCTCAAATATTCATATTCTGTGCCTCCAATGGAAAAGTTTGAAAAACACTGATCTGATATTATGCTTTAAATGGTGTTTTAGTGCAGTTTGTCCAAAGTTGCTACATAGATATTCTGTAGGAATGCTTCCTACGTGTACCGAAGGCAGAAATGTAGCTGAGATTCTGGCACAGCCTTTGTTTTCCAAAAATACAGTGCAAATTCACAAGAAAGTCTAACAGAAGATCTTCAGTAACAAACTGAACAAGCATCTTGCTTAGGCATATGTTTCTATCCATTATGAGAACATGCTGAGATTGTTTCATACTAGTGAAGCAGTGTCTTATCAAGAAATCCTGTCAGTCTTTTATAAATTATCTTTTTCAGTGTTGTCCTTCTTCCCCTCCACTCTTCTGTTTCATTTCACATGACTGGACTTTGTACCCATATACTGATAAGTGCACAGCCATCTTGTTTGCATAGGAGAGGCAAAAAGAAACAATTCCGTGCTGCAAGGTAAAACACCCTTTCTGCCCCTTTCTGTCATTTATATATAGCTTAACTGTAAAGATTGGGGTTATATGTTGTTGTATGTTATGTATATGTTATATGTATGTTGTATGTTATATGTATGTTGGAGTTCATATTCTTTCACATCTCAAAGAAATTCTTTATGTCAGGAAGTTAGCAATTATGAGAAATAATAACATTCAGTGTTGTCTTTTCTGCATTAATTTAATATAATGTGATTTTCACAACGAAAAGGAGATTGCTGAAACAGTACACTCATTTCTGTAAGATACTGTAAAATATAGGGGCAAATTATTTTGTAGCAGAATGCACTTTGTTATCTGGTATTGCAATGGAGTAGAACTTTCCCTGCCTTGAACAGATTAAAAACAGTGTACTTGAATTACTTGAATTGTGAAAGCATTTTGAAGAAAATAGAAAGCAGGGTCTTTATGAAATAGAAAATTTTCCAGCTGTGCCACAGTACAGCTTTTTTTCTTAGCACTTAAGCTCTGGTTGTTTAAAAAGTAATGTTAAAAGTGTATGTAATTTTGATTATGGAGTCTGTCTCAAGGATCAAATGGAAATGAATTGTTAAATAGTTTTGGAGGGGGTAGGTTCTGAAATAAGCTTGTAGTTTTGAAGTGACTGGTTCATGTGCAGTGTATGTATTCTGAAAAAGTCCATTCAGTTCAAAGGTGGAAGCCTGCAAGACTTGCCTGTAACTTTTAAAGGTTTTAAAGGTTTATTAAATAAATCCATTATTTTCCTTTGTAACCTTGTACACATTCAACTTGCAAACTGGGAGTAAACCCAGCTACTACAGGGAGAGTATCTGTAGGAGGAATCTCTGGGATAGAGAAGGGCAAAGGGTGATAGGGAAAGGGAAAAGGTAAGGAAAAAAATCATGACTTCTGGATATGTTGTATCTGCCAGGCTTAAACAAAAAAATTGCATTTGAGCAACCTTACTGAGACAAAAAGGAGGAAGATGAAAGCGATGCCTACGTAACCCAAACAAGCGCTGGAACAGAATCTGACCATACATATTTCTTGCTACGCAGTTCTGTAATGACTCATTCATAATATGTATTCCATACATCCTGTTTTCTCACAAACATGTATTTTGCTTTTGCCCTTAGGATGCTCTGTAGGTGGATTTTAGTAAGACCTGTGTTAAAGCCCCGTCAGTCCAACAGCTGAGGCTGTGCTAACACAGGGAGAGCCCCAGTCACCAGTAGGGAGCACTGTATACTGCTGGCCCATGGAAGAGCCTATGTTGAGGGAAGTCATGTAGGAGGCAGGCGGCAAGGCACGGCAACATTGGGAGGAGCGACCAGTGCTAGAGAGGCAGTGAAAATACAGCACCTGGGCAAGCAGAATTGGAGGAGTCCAGCCACTGCGTCCAAAAGGTATTCAGCCTCAGTTTACATTGATGGCACACTGATACGGGATTCTTGAGTAAAAAGGAATTTGAAATAGTTTCCATGGTTTGCAAAGATTAGGATTGCAGAAGAGTTTGTGCAGTGGCTTCTTGATTGTATGAGCGGAAGTTTGGGGATGAGGAGGAATGAAATTAAAGTAGTTCAGGTGAGAAGTTCTACAGGACAACTGAGATGGCTTTTCAAACAGTCCTGAACAAGAATTGTGTCTATGGCACTCTAGGCTTTAAACACACAAGTTTGAACAGCTTCAGGTATGCAGTGATACTGATTTTGGAAATTTTTTTGCATGCATCCTGGACAAACACTTCAAATTTGGTGCAAAAATGACCTCTTCTTTTTGTCTACCATGCTAAAGAATCAGTTGACTAGCTGTACTCATAAGGAAATCTTAGGGTACAGAGCTCAAACAGATCTGTTTTTCTCTGTTATTGTTTATATTCTGCACTGCTGACAGAACTGACCACTATGATGAAGAAAATGAGAAGATATTAACATGGGTTAGTCACAAGAGTAACTCTTAGCATCTCCAGATCCTGTATTATTATAATAGACAACTGGGTGTGTTCTCTAGTGTAGAAGTTGTCTAATAAAGCAGTAAAGTATTGTCCTGAAAAAAGGCATTTTGAACAGGAGAATTGATATGTTCTTTCTCACTGATGAACAGAATCCATCCTTCAAACACATAAGGTTGTGTTGTACCTAAAGGCACAAAGCAGAGGAAAACATCTTTTCTTTAAAACTTATTTAAAAACATTCTCATACAATTGGAAAAGTATGTTATTTGCTTCAGAAATACTGGCAGCATGCTCCAGACCAAGCCAAAACATAATGAGAACCCTGGAGCTATTACTGAGAAACTTCCAAATGTTAATGGAAAAGCTAATGCTGGTGTACCACAAGAAAAGGTGTGCCATAAGAAAATAGAAAAATGCCTTTTCTGAGTACCTTTTAGTTAATTTATGATCTTAAAACATTGTTCAGAATAAGGTGAAAATGAAATAAATTGCTATGGTTTTGAGCTACTGGTATTTTCATTTTATCATGTTGGGATTTTGCCTTAACTCCTATGTGCAAAAAAAAAAATGCTGTTCTATTTTAACAGAAAGAATTTACAAGTTTCATAGAGTTCCTATGTAAGCAAAGAGTAAAGAACTAGAGAAAAAGAAGGGGAGGAAGGATGGGAAGGAGCAAGAATTTTCTACTTGCACAGGGCAGAATAAATCTGGATACCTCTGGCTTAAATTGCTGTTTTTCCTGTATTGCTGTAATACAATATTTACATTTCTACACTGTTTATTCAGGTATTTTTATTTTCTGTCTGTCTCTAAGGATCTACTTAGCCTCTTCTTGTATTGTAGACATATATGTTTAGTCTTAGAATTATTTGCTGTTATGGGTTTCCTTCATTTTAAGATATTAATTTTAATTTTTACTTAATCCTATGATGTTTAAAGTCTATCCCTCAAATATTTTGCCAAGCAAAATATAGTCACAATTTTATTTTTTTTTTATTGATGGGGAAGTCTTTTAATAGGATTGTTGCAATTAGTAAATTATCGAATCTTTGGAACTGGGATACAGATTTGCTTAATGTATATATATGTATTGTTTTGTAAATGTCTTTCCCTTTTGTCTGACACATTTTTAGCAGACTCTTGATCTGTGTCATGTGCAATCAGACAGCTATATAGCCACTATGCAGCTCATCATCCTTCTTTTCCTAATTGTATAAATGTTCTTTCTAAGGTAAACATTTTCCTGGTTTGTAAGACCTCCTAATTTCATTATATTTACATATTGTTTTCAATTTTGTTTTGCATTGATTGTATTTTATTTTTAAGCTGTTTCATACTTTTATTGTTTTATGAATAATGCTAGTGAAGTATCTCTTCATTAAAGGTGGTTAGAAAATTACTTACCATCTTAGTCTCTTCCTCCTCTCTTTTCTGAAGCCCTTTTTTCATTATGTTATTAGGGGGTAAAATAGAAATGGTGAATGGATAAAGCTATTATCTTTGTTTTAATTTTGCAGCAGGTGCTAAAAATTGGGTAATTTGAGAGTTAATCTTTTAACTCAAGTAAATAATGCAGTAAAAATATCTCCCAGCCAAAAGAACAGAAAAGGTGGTTTGTTTTCACATTGTAAGTAACTTGTGAGTGCTTGTAAATGCCAAACAGGCTGTTTTTCACATTTAAAAGGAAGGGAGAACAATTTCATTTTTAAATTGCCTCAATTAAGAAAGAAAAAGCTTTTTTTGGTTTAAACCCACTTTTTTTTTCCCTGCTAGAAAGACTTTTGTCAAAAAAATTCCAAACAATTTCATTCATAACTATTTGCAGAATGAGGACAACATTCCATGCATATTAGTTGTAGGACAAAAGTAATGTAAACCAGATTTTCCGGTTTTAGAAACAGTAGGGAAGGAGCTAGATTTTTAATAAGCCACTACCTGTCTATTTTTAATGTCTCTTACCCATGCAAATTAAGAGGAAGGAGAAGTTGTTTGTTTATGTCCTGTGAGCCTCTTGCTTATAGCAGCAACACCATAAGTCAGTTGGTCACAAGTCATTTTTTGCTTAATGAGCTTTGCCATTTCTCTCCCTGATAAAAAGTTCACTCTTAGATCTAGATGGATTCAATAACAGCAAATAAGTTTTTGGCTCCTGATAATCAATTAAAGTAATTTGCCATTGGATCCATTTATTCCTTTTCATTTTAAATGTGGTGGGTTGGCCCTGGCTAACAGCCAAGAGCTTACACAGCTGCTCACTCCCTTCCTTCCTTCCCCAGGGATATGGGGAAAAATCAGAAGGAATGCAAGTGAGAAAACTGGTGGTAAAATAAAGACAGGAAAATCCACATCGTAGACAAAACCACTTGGGGAATACAAGTTAATTTATTGATAGGTGGCATAAATATTTAATTGGTTGGAGTATTGGGAAACAAAACAAAACAAAAAAAGGACAAACATTTAATGTTACAGGAAAAACACTTTTCCTCCCACTCTCCCAGGTTCAGCTCTAGATTCCACTCTTTGACTTCCCTGGTCTCCACACCATCGCTCCAGACACCAGCTGCTGTCTTACTGCTGTAGGTTATACACAGTCCCTTCAGGGAGGCACTGGGTGGCACACAAAAGGCTGTAGTCAGTGCTTGGCTGTTTCCCTGTGCTACTTCTTGTTGCTCCACAGACCACAGTGCCTTTGGGCATGTTCCTGATCCAGTGTGGGACACTTCCTACTGCTTTGGCTGTTTTGTTCTTTCCTCTTCTTCCTCCTCTCCCACTGCTCCTCACAGCCTTCTCTTTCTGTTCCTCCCTCCCCCACCAGTATTTTTGCCCTTTCTTAAATATGTTTCCCTAAGGGCTCACCTGTGGTCTGCAGTGGGTCCATCACAGAGCTGGCTGGAACTGTGTTCAGTGCAGAGCAAGTCTTGGTCTGTCCTCACAGAGGATCCCCTGGAACATCAAAGCAACTCCACTGTCAAAACAACCTACTTCTTCTTCTACCTCTTACGTGACAGGACAAACATGTGCATCACTGCTCCACGATTAGAATGAAT